GCATGCACGGGTGGATTTGGAGTGCGGGTATATGGTGAATGTCTCTGTGCGCATACCTGCGCATGCACGTGTTCATGCACGAGTGGACTTAGAGCGTGTGTATATCATTAATGTCTGTATGCGCACACCTGCGCATGCACGGGTGGACTTGGAGTGCGTGTATAGGATGAATGTCTGTGTGCGCACACCTGCTCATGCACGTGCGCATGCATGGGTGGACTTGGAGTGCGTGTGTATCATGAATGTCTATGTGCGCATACCTGCGAATGTCTGTGTGCGCACACCTGCGCATGCACGGGTGGACTTGGAGTGCGTGTATAGGATGAATGTCTGTGTGCGCACATCTGCGCATGCACAGTGGACTTGGAGTGTGTGTATAGGATGAATGTCTGTGTGCGCACACCTGCGCATGCACGTGCGCATGCACGTGCGCATGCACGGGTGGACTTGGAGTGCGTGTGTATCATGAATGTCTGTGTGCGCACACCTGCGCAAGGGTTTAGGGTTTAGGGTTTAGGGTTTAGGGTTTAGGGTTTAGGGTTTAGGGTCTAGGGTTTAGGGTTTAGGGTTTAGGGTTTAGGGTTTAGGGTTTAGGGTTTAGGGTTTAGGGTTTAGGGTTCATGCACGTGTCGACTTGGTTTGTGCATATATGATGAACATCTGTGTGCTCGCACCTGCGCATACACGTGTCGACTTGGTGTGTATGTGCACACGCCGCACGTGTCGACTTGGAGTGTGGGTATATGATGAATGTCTGTGTGCGCAAATATGAGCACACCTGCGCATGCACGTGTGGACTTAGAGTGCATGGCATGTGTGGACTTGGAGTGCGTGTATATCATGAATGTTTGTATGCGCACACCTATGCAAGCACGTACGCATGCACGTGGCACACGTGCGGACTTGGAGTGCGTGTATATGATGAATGTCTCTGTGCGCACACCTGCGCAAGCACACGCGCATGCGGACTTGGAGTGTGTATATATGATGAATGTCTGTGTGCGCACACCTGCGCATGCACGTGCGCATGCACGTATGGAATGCACATGTGCGGACTTGGAGTGCGTGTATATGATGAATGTCTGTGTGCGCATGCACGTGTGGACTTGGAGTGCGTGTATATTACGAATGTCTCTGTGCGCACACCTGCGCAAGCACACGCGCATGCGGACTTGGAGTGTGTGTATATGATGAATGTCTGTGTGCGCACACCTGCGCATGCACGTGCGCATGCACGTATGGAATGCACATGTGCGGACTTGGAGTGTGTGTATATGATGAATGTCTGTGTGCGCATACACGTTTGGACTTGGAGTGTGGGTATATGATGGATGTCTGTATGCGCAAAGCTGCGCATGCACGTGTCGACTTGGAGTGTGTATATATGATGAATGTCTATGTGCGCACCCCTGCGAATGCACGTGTCGACTTGGAGTGTGTGTATGGAGTGTGTGTATATGATTAATATCTGTGTGCGCACCCCTGCGCATGATGTGCGCACACCTGCGCATACACGTGTCGACTTGGCGTGTGTGTATATGATGAATGTCTGTGTGCGCACACCTGCGCATGCACGTTTGGACTTGGAGTTTGTGTATATAATGGATGTCTCGATGCGCAC